CAAGACTTCAAACGTGTGCTGGAGTTGAGAGCACTCCTGGTGCAACTGGGCGAAGGTATTGATGCGGTGCCAACTAGTAGCAAGAAACGTTTATTTTTCTCTCCACTGCGTCATCCAATCCCGGAAGACATCACACGTCTTCCTTTTTCAACTGAAAATTGATATGTAAGAACCTGGATTATAGTAATCATCTATTCACCTCCACCAAAACCAAAAATGACCTTTCAAGCTTCAAGTACGCAACTTCCAACAAAGCGTCAAATTCAGATCTGCAGCACGTCACCTAAGCTATTTCTTCCTTAATTAAATAAATTTATGCCTGGGCTTATATAACGAGGAGTTTCTTGTACCATTGTGATTCAATTTTGTCGTTTTTGGGAGGGGGGGTGAGGGATTAATATCTCGAGCTATGCGGTACGGTAGGTAAATAGGAGAATGAGTGGAGTGACTAATAAGCCGAAAAGATGACAACCACTTTTTTTCCTAAACATACTTTAGCTTCTTATTCCTATAATAATTACGTATATTGCATTGTAAGCGAAACTGGAAAAGATATTTTTCACGATATTCCTTATACATAAGTCGCAATACTATTTTAATCTTTCATCCACCGGTTTTCATACGTAAGCTACTACTCTCGACCTGGGAAGGCTCTTCTTCGATCAAATGTGGTAAAAGAATTATTGTTATGCTTTCTAGTTACCCTAGCTTCTGGGCTCTAACTACTCGTTGAATCATACGGAATTCAAGATTAAAATTGAAACCAACGAAGTGTTCAGCAAGAATGAAAACCCAACAATCCCTACTTTCCCCCTTTCTCGCTAAGAGACTGTATACCCACCATCAACGACCAAACTACCCCCCACAACAAAACTCGCCATTGGACTTGCTAGGAATGCAATACTATCTCCAATCTCTTCCACCTCGGCAACTCTCCCTGATGGCGTCTTCGCTATCTCACCTTTCATATATCCATCTTCCAACGCTGAACCGAGAAGAGGAGTCCTGACGTAGCCTGGACAGATAGCGTTGATGCGAATGTGATGGGGAGCGTAGGCTGTAGCGTCAGCTTTGGTGAGGCCTACCACTGCTGTGTTGTTGTTAGTGGAATATGTGAGGGGCGGAGGAAGAGCCTACCGTGTTTTGAAGCTACATATGCCGTGCTAGGGACATCGGAGGGTGTACCGATGAGACCGTACATTGATGCTACATTTATGATAGTTCCTCGTCCGATCCTGAGACCGAGATTTCTATTTTGAGAGATGTCAGCGGGTTCAGGTACAGTAGTTACTCGAATTATCTCGTCTCGCCAAGCATTCACAGACTTTTTCCAGTACTGCGAACACCCTGTATCAAAAGTCCATCACCGAAAAGGTTATGAGAGAAATGAGACCTCACTCCTGACCCATCATAACCCCAAGCAAAGCCTTCTGACACCCAAAAACGCCATTCAGATTAACATCTACCACTCTTTCCCAACTACTCCACTCCAGCTCATGGCTGAGAATTCCACTTCGTCCGATCCCCGCAACATTGACACCAACATCTATCCTACCAAACCTGTCCGCTGCATCTTTTAGACTATCTCCTACTTTGCTGCGGTCACACACATCTAATTCCATTGATCCAATTTGAAGACTTGGGAATCTTTTTAGCAGAGAGGAGGATGTGGTTTGAAGAGCGGGGCCATTGATGTCTGTTAGGTAGAGGTTGGTGATTCCATGCTGGGCGAGGGAATTGGCTGTTGCTTTGCCTATTCCTGTTCAGAGGGGGAATAAGCAGGGGTCGTTTTTGTTTTGTTTCGTTTTGTTTATAGGTAGTTTAGGTACAGTACCTGATGCTGCCCCCGTGATATATGCAGTTCCTCTTAGTAGTTTGGACGCCATCGTCTCATTGGCTTTCGCAAAACCTTCCGACTGTGAATTTCAATTCCTGTGATTTTGAATTTTAATCCAAGGGTCTGAATCGCTTTGGAGTTTTTCAACGATAACTTTCTCATGACACCTCACCTAAATCTCGAGACAAACAGGGGAATCTTTCTCGACCTAAAATTGGTGGGGCGTGTTCTCGGAAACCCACCCTGAAGCCTCCCTTGCTTGTAGGCAAAGCGCTGAAATAATATCGTGGGGTCCCCGGATGGATTTCAATACAGTAGTGGAGTGGGGTACAATCTCCCGTCTTCTTCAGTGACAACGACCCCGCACCAGGCGTGGAGGCACCAGTGGAACTCATGATGCGGAAGTGTGTCGAGTCGTGGTATACAATGTGTAGAACCGAATTGACTCGAGTCATTAGAATCACTTGGAAGTTGGTACCGACTTAGCCAATAGTGTAGTTGATAGATATACCTAGTAGTGTGTGGCACGCCACGTTTCTGTACATCCGGAGACAGCACACTGTTCAGTTCTACTGTACCTAGGTAGGCGCACCGTCATCTCAGTCAGCACAGCCCCACTAGTACGATTGATCACCGGCTCCAGGAACAGCTGGTTCAAGCTTGCTGTGTCACGTCTTTGGTGCCATTCCAATGGTTATACTGATCCGAGGCCAGTCTAAGGAGTATGCAGGTACAGTGTGTGTACAATACATTATACCCTCAGTACAGTGCCTCTCTAGCTCGCTCTTCTCATAATGGAATTCAGCTCGAGACAGCCAAGTAGCTCAGGTTTCTGTGTGGGATCTTCTCCTTGTTGAGAGGACCATGCACGGTACCGGTACACACTGATTGTTCCGTACGGGCAGGCGCAATAATCCGCGCTTCCTTGGTATGGCTACTACAAAACCCACAGCTATCATGATGGTACCTAGACTAGCGGGGCAATGATAGTTACAGGACCAAAAGAGCTAACATTGGTCGCTCGATCCTTTTTTTATTGACAGAACCTTTTCCGATCTCCTATTTGATCTATTTTTGTCTTTTACTATTCCAAAAGAATTGTCTCTTAGAAAGAAGATTTCCGTTTGAGGCAAATTATAGTACAACCAACATGGAGGAAGTCAATACTTGTGCAGACGAATATCATGAATTCGACCTTTCCGCCCTTGTTCTTCATAACAATGCTTCAACGTCCCTTCTTGTTTCCCATTCTCCAACCCCAGCCCCAGAACCGGTTTCGAAAACCACACCTAAAGGTATATCCAAGCGAAGGGGGAAAAAACGTTCATCGACCGCCTGTACAACATGCAGGATAAGGAAAGTGAGGTGTAATATCATAGCACATGGAGCACCATGTAGTAATTGTAGACATGATGAAATCGAGTGCATTTTACCTCTGAGTCGGAGGCAGCGGTATAAACCACCAAACCCGGGAAAGCACCTTAAGATGGACTAACGGAAAAGAATTTAGGTCTGCTCGAGATCGCGCTGAGAAGAATCAAATGGGTTCAATGGGCACTTCTGAAACAGAAAAGTTGCGCAGTCTGAATACAACCCAAATCGAGCAAGAAAGTAGCCATGTCCGTCAGACAACTGAACAAGCTTCCTCACTCTCAAATCTCACTCCACATAGGATGAGGATATCTGAACGTCAAATCCCTGAAATACTACCCCTCGGGGCTTCTACGAAACAACAAGAAGCATCACCCACTCCATCCAGAATAAGATCATGAAATCAGATAAAATCGCCGTTAACATCATCCCCAGTTCCAGAAATAAACCCAACGAGCGCCCCAGATCAACGCATTCCAAGAATTCCAAAAATCTTCAACGCCTTTCCCAAAAGTGTTGATTCCACAGACATGATGTATCTACATACGCGAGATGCCCTCACACTTCCCTCCGAAATCCTACAGATCGCCTTATCCAAATCGTACGTCACCCATGTACATTGGAACATGCCGATATTGGATTTGGATGACTTTTTATATGTTGTTCAATATGGCGGTGGGGAATCTGGCGCTGGGAAAAGTACGCATGCCCCAAACAAAATTGAATTTCTGCTTTTTCAAGCTGTTATATTTGCTGGTGCTGAGCATGTAAGTATGAGGTTTTTGAGAGAAGCAGGTTGGAGCGAAAGAGAGGTGGCTAGGAATGCCCTATTTGGAAGAATCAAGGTAGGGTCCGAATCGTCTAATTCTACTTATAAAAATGCTTTATGTCACTAATGTACTACCAATAAAGTAGATTCTCTATGACTTTGATACGGCGACTGATCGTCTCTCAATCGTTCAGTCCTTACTTCTTATGACACTTTATTCTCCCTCTCCACCTACTGGTGAAACTATAAATCATAACGTAACTTTCATGAAAGACGAAAATCATTATCTGAACTTGGCTATTTCGCTTTGTTATTCATTGGGTCTCCATAGAGCACCGCCCTTTTCTGCACTGGGAAGTCCCGACGCTTCGGCTTTGAAAAGAAGAGGGCTCGAAAAGCGGATGTTCTGGACAGCCTTCATTCGCGATCGCCTCCTTGCAACTACATCTAAACGCAGTCTTAGGAGACTCGTTCGGATCAAAAAGGTGGATTGCCAGATTTCCATGCTTAGCCTCGCGGACTTCGACATAACACCCGAAGCAGACGACGACGACAGCGATGAAACCATGCACCAACGTGTAAGCGCAAATTCATACATTGAAAAAGCCATTTTATGCTGGAATGGGAGCGATACCTCTTTTGACTTGCAACATCAATGGCCACAGATCCTATCCCAAACAATGAACGAGCGACCATCCATTTGGAAACGTGATACTTCTCACAATCAGCACTATTCAAGTATAACGAAAATATCATTACGCTCTCCATCCGCCAAAAACCTCAGTGCTCTGGATTACGATTTCTTTCTGAGTCCAGAAACACAGAACTCTTACGACCATCCGGCGCCATCCAGTACCATCTCATCAGATTCTCCCCTTCTTAGTCCCTAAGAATTTGAAGAGAAATGTAATACCCCGTCCTTCAGAAATGACCTTTCGGGCTCAGCTAGCATTTTCGGTAGTAGCGGCGAAAATGCAGGCGTGGTTGCTGGAGTAGACGGTGAACAATTTAATTATTTGGAGTTTCTTGAGCCAGGTGTTTGTGTTAGTGTTGTAGATGCCAATAAGAAAGACGGGTTGCAGTTAAAAAAGGAGGTCAGAGAACGGGACATGGCAGGGAAGTGGTGAGTTTGGCGACTCTCAGGGTTTAAACAGCATTTATTTCATATCATGTTCATCGAGTTCGTTATCCTGCAGTATAGTACTTTACTGTATCAAGCGCGGACTTGTTGTCTTGCCAAAGTCCTCCTTTTCCATGGATTAAACCATTATATTTGAGATCATTCAGTGACCAGGCTGCTCGAATAGCAGATTCATTCACGCAAACTTTAAACAATTGAACAACACGTATAAAATAATCGGTTATACTCTTCGAGCGATCAACCGATTGTGCTCTAACTTAAATTGATATCCTGACTACACCTCGGGAGTGACTCCATGAAACGTTTCAACTTCTACACCCTTCTCATTTGCCAACTTGATGTACTTTCTTCGATATTCCTTGTCTCTCTCCTTGTAAATTTCGGCAGTCTTCAACTCATCCCGTCCAACCTGATGTCTATGTGCACTATCCGGTCCATCAGCAATCCTCACAAATCTAGCATACGTCCACATCTCTGGCAACGGAGTATGCTGGGTCAAACCCTGACCACCATACATCTGCATACACTCATCAATGACCTTCGTGGCCATAATTGGAATCAAAATCTTGCTCTGGGCAATCGCGTATCGACCAGCCTTATTCCCATGAATATCCATTGTATCAGCAGCATTAAAAACCACATGACGAGCTTGATCAATTTCCAATCTCATCTGTGCAATCCTCTCGATGTTCGAATCGAAGGAACCAATTGACTTTTCCCGTGGAGTCTTTCGCGTATCAACACAGCGAATGAGAGCCAGTTCATAAGCCCGCTCGCATTGTCCAATCAACCTCATACAATGATGAATTCTCCCTGGTCCCAGTCTCCCCTGCGCAATTTCGAAAGCTCTGCCTTCACCAAGATTCATGTTTTCCACGGGAATTCGGACATTCTTGTAAATGTACTCACCGTGGCCCCCCGGCGCATGGTCATATCCCATGATACTCATATTTCTCACCTGCGTGATTCCTGGTGCATCGGCAGGGACAATAACCATACTATGCCTGTTCCATTCATCCTCATTTGTTGGGTCGGAACAGCCCATCAAGATGATGAATTTCAAGTCAGCATTCAAGATGGAGTTTCCAAATATCTTTCGCCCGTTGATCACGTATTCGTTTCCTTCGCGAGTTATGCGACAGCCGATCTGGGTTGCATCAGAAGAAGCGACGTCGGGCTCAGTCATGGAGTACGCTGAACATGCTGTTCCCTCAAGAAGGGGCAGAAGAAACTTTTTCTTTTGGGATGGGTTGCAGTATTTTGCTAGAAGTTCTATGTTCCCTGTATCTGGAGCGTGGCAATTCATTGTCTGTTTTACCTCATAATTTTCTCTCAGGGGACTAAGATATTCGAATTGATAATATGGAGGAAGAAACAAACCTGTTGAGCCCAATAAACTCTCCCCATGATTTCTGCGCAAACACCGTATTCCAAATTCGTCAAGCCAGGGCTCTCCTCAAAATGCTTTGGGAGGAACAAATTAAATAGGCCCTTCTTTTTTGCTTTCTCGCGTAGTTCATGCATGAGGGGTTGGGTCGTCTATCGTGTTTCTGGTGATGCGTTTTGTTGCTTCATCAATGGTTCTGCGGGTATGCACTCCTCTTCTACAAATTGGTAGACGTCTTTTATTTTGGTGATTGCGATAGGAGAGAGTTTCGCTTGAACCCATGGTGGGATATGGTTGAAAGCTGGGTGGTCGAGAGGTGAGGTCATCTTTTCGGTGACGATGTAGTTGAGATTTGGATCTCTTGAATGAGATGGTTTGGCTCGAGATGGGTTCACTCCAAGATCCTACACTCTGTTATCGAGCTGTCGGTCTTCCGGTCTTCTTATGGAACTTTGGCCGAGGTCGCGGTTGAAGTGGACTAGCAGGGGATGGTAGCAGTGGTTAGGGTTGGAAAACAGGGGTGGTTGACGAAATGTGGAGAGCGGAAGTTCTTACCCGAATTTGTGGGGGTGGGGGCAACAGAAGGTCAGCTCTGCGTTTCCTAATACGTGCTACAAACTGCGAAGCAAATTGTTGAGCCAGATATTGAGTAAAAGGGGCACTCAAGAGCATGTCGTTGACCTGGTCAGAGGTTTCGATGCCAAAGAGCATAATGTAAGATGTAAACAACCCCCTTTTTTTAGCGAGGAAGAAATATTCACTAGCAGAGGAAACTCAATCCAATTTGAAAACCATATGAAAACGTCTTCTTCTCCATGTAATAACACTATCTTAAGCAAATGGATAGCACCTCAAATTCTGAGGTCTGTTATTAAATAAAGTCTCTTTTCCACCCCTCAATCCCGTAATCGCAGCAAGGGACCGAGAGATATCTTTAGGGGTGAAAGCATGTATTCAAACCTCTTCAAACTGCTTTCCTGGATTTAAGCTAGCATCAATTTTCTTTTACGGCGAAGGCTGCAATAGAGATATGTTATCAGGATTATACTGACTAGTAGTTTCCAGTGCACGGAACCTGCATATATTGGAACAGGAGTGTATAACAAAGGAGGGGGATATACCAGGGCCATATAAGCCAGGTTCCTGGCTACAGTACAGTACTTAGCTCCCCAGTCATCTCAATACAACTCTTCTGGCACCCTGGCCTTCCATATTCCTAGCAACAAGATATACAAACTCTGATAAAAATGCACATGATACTATCAAACGACTTCGGCAATGTGAAAATGTTTTATGGTAAGCTTTCCCAGCGCTAGCAATCTTACAATTATCATTACAGACGATTGTAGATGTGTGTCGGGCTGATTCCTCGGATCCCTATGTTTCTGTAATTCTCTATTTAAAACTCAGAGAGCTTCCCCCTTTTGGTATGGCTGTTTGCAGTGAAGATACGTTAAGCAATGACGGCATGTTATTTCGAGATGCTCTAGACACTGCAGGACAGGAAAATTCTCCTGAGTCGTGATGATCCATCCACAAAAGCAGAAGACTGGCGGACGAGAAACCACTCCTTTCGGTGTCAAAAGCATGTATCATGAGTATGAATGGTACACACTTTTCTTCTGAGTATATCCTTCAAAACATCTTGCGCCACCAGTATTTTTAATCTATAGCAATTTAAGCGAGGGATTTCAATTTATCCTGGGTAGTCAACAAAAGACGAACAGAAGTTCAAGTACCTGATTTTACTTAAATTGACAGCCGTGCAAATTTTGGACCCATGGAAAAGCTAGCGAGAGCTGACTCAAAATTCCATACTCTCTGGCAACCTTGATTCAGTGAGGCTTGGTGCTAAAAGTGCCCCGCTCTTGGACTTCCAGTATGTGGATTACCCCATGTTTTCGCACCAAGCCCCTGTAGATGGCCAGCTCCACCTTCCATCCAAGCAATTCGGTCTTTCTTTCCCGAGTCTCGATGAACTTAACCGGCGAGTTCGATTGCAAACGGAACCATGCCCATCTTGGGAGGGTTAGTACCAGGAAATGGGGTAGATATGGTGAGTATTACCATGCTCACAACTCTGACTCTGTACAGTATCAAGAACACGGTATTTTGATATTACTGCAATTACAAACCAAACCTGCGCGTACTATTGCCACTTAGAATATCAAAATGGGTGAAAACGTTTCAGTAAATGGCAATAACAACGCAAAAAGACCAATTCGTATCGCAGGTGCCTCAGGAGGGTTTACTGATCGCCAACGCGCTATCTACTCCCTCGCCCAATGCGATGTTGATGTTATTGTTGGCGACTGGATGAGCGAATGTACTATGTCCTGGCATGGAGCGGCGAAATCTGCCATACTCGCGAAGGGCGATACTTCAGACCGACCGGGCCTCTTCGACCCATCATTTATGGCCAACTTGACACCTGCTCTACCACTATTGGCGGAGAAAAAGATCAAATTGGCAGTCAATGCCGGAGCCAGTGACACAGAGATATTAGCTAAAGAGGTGGAGAGAGCAATTTCTTCGGCTGGATTGGAAGGGAAATTGAAGGTTGCTTGGATCCAAGGGGATGAGGTGCTCGACGTTGTGAATAAACTTCTCAAGGAAGGTGAGAAATTCGAGAATATCTGTTTTGGGGGAGAACTCAAGGATTGGGGATTTAAACCTATTGCTGCACAGTCAGTATCATTACTTTTAATCTCGAGCTTTCACTAAAACTGGAACAGATGTTATTTGGGAGGTGCTGGTATTGCTGAAGCTCTCAGACAAGGTGCCGATATAGTAATATGTGGACGTGTAGCGGATGCAGCTCCAACAATCGGGGCTTCGATGTGGTGGCATGGGTGGAACAGAGACCAAGATTTCGATCAATTAGCTGGTTCTCTTGTTGCTGGGCACTTAATAGAGTGTTCCTCTTACGTTTGTGGTGGTTATTATTCCGGGTTCAAGGAACTCTTCGATGGTTGTGAAAACATTGGGTTTCCAATTGCTGAAGTATTTGCCGATGGAAGCTCTGCCATCACCAAGGAACCAGGAACCGGTGGTGAGATATCACTTGGCACCGTTTCTTCACAGTTGCTTTACGAGATTCAAGGCCCACAGTATTATGGTTCAGGTGAGTATCTAGTTTCTCCTAATCAATGTATTCTTTTGGCAGACCTGGCATCGAAAGACCTGATGGTCCTCTTATACGCTTTTGATACATCTCCTTCTAAGCTTGACACAAAGAGAAATCCTAATTCTGGTATGATTTAGATGTTGTAGCTGTGATTGAAGGCATTGAAATGGTGCAAGACGGAAAGGATCGGGTGCTCGTCACTGGCATCAAAGGGAAACCCCCTCCGACCACAACAAAAGTTCGCCTTACAGCCCATGGTGGTTATCAAGCCGAGTTTCACTTTATTCTTGTGGGACTCGATCCTGAGCAAAAGGCAGAATGGACAGAGAGACAGGTTCGGGCGTCGATGGGCAAAAACACGGATCGTTTCTCCTGTCTCAAATTCACACTCAACGGATACTGCCCAGAAGATCATAGAAATCAGGACGTTGCAACAGTGGATTTCCGCGTCTTTGCACAAACTAAAGACCGATCTCTTGTCATCAAAGACACAATCGAAGTACCTGGCTTCAACAGATGGTGCTTGGAGAACTTTCTGCAATCCTGCCCTGGAGCAACCATAGAAAATGAAATTCGACAGTCCGCTGTGAAGGAGTTCTATGAATACTGGGCTGCATTGCTTCCCCAAAAAGAAGTAAATCATCAAGTCAAGTTGATGTGGGATCATAAAACGATCGATATTGCTCCGTCACCGGCCATGGAACTATATACTACCCGCCAATGGTCCTATGAAACTTCAACTCCCGTCGCCCTCTCTACTTTCGGTCCAACAACACGCTGTCCACTTGGTTTCCGTGTGCTAGGGAGATCTGGGGACAAAGCTTCTGATGCCAACCTTGGACTGTTTGTTCGTGAAGATGATGAATGGGAATGGCTTAGGTCATTCCTAACTATTCCGAAGATCATTCAATTGCTGGGGCCAGAGTATAATAATAAGCCGGTAGAGCGGTTTGAAATTCCCGGAATAAAAGCTGTACATTTTCTCTTGCACGATCATCTTGATCGCAGTTACAATGCGACAAGCACATATGATGGATTGGGCAAGAACTTATGCGAGTATTTGAGGGCAAAACATGTGGATATTCCGAATTCATTTTTGAGAAGAGGAAGAATTTGAGGGCAAGTTTTTAAATACATGGCAGAGTTTCATACTATGTTAACAAGAAATCATGATGCATTCCATTCACTTCCTATGTTGGCCCAAAAAGTGCTTGTTTACCAGAACATTTAGGAGCCGTCGTGTAAGTAACTATCTGAAACTAACATAGGAAAACAATCGCCTTGTTTTACACAGTGGATGATCCTCAATCTGTTATTTATGGAAGGAAATATTGGAGCTCAGGTGTCCCAGAGCGAGGTAAATCACGTGATCATCCAATCATTGTTCATACCAATCATTCTCTGGATGGGGAATCATAGAAAACAAATTTGTTCATTCTCTTACAAAGAATAATTTAAAATGAGTATCTTCCTCCGCAAAGCAACTGAAACCACATATTGGGTCTATTTCTCTGGTTATCAAATGGCCTTTTGCAGACGTGGAATGTTTGGTAAATATTAAACAGAACATTGGTTCTCTTCCTCTGATACTAGCTAAAACCAGGCATCCAAATAACAACAAAATCAAAGCTTCATTCAACGAATAAGAAGTGCCCTATTTGGGACTTTAGAAGCCTGGCGTTACACTCGTCCTCCCTCAAGTGCAACGACACAACAACTTTATGCTCTCCTGGTTCCACCAGAGTCCTTAAATGCCCTACATCAACTCCTTCTTTCCGGTGATATGTCGTAAGCCTTGTATTCCGCTCATATCGAAAATTCCTAGCGTATCTTCTCGAACTGCTCTCCGCGTGAAAACATCCCGTTTTAGTTTCTCTTCAAATCTAAAAGGTAAATTTTGGATCAACCAGTTTTCTAATCAATCTTTGAAGTGTATTCTTGGTAATTGATTCTTGCTCCGCCAATTCTTAAACGAGGATATTCACCATAGCAAAGCTAGGAACTAGTTAGTGAAATTGTCAGGAAAAAGTCCTATGTGGAGGGGCGTACTTTGGTGAAGCCTTCTGGATGTAAGAAAACAGCTGATCTTTAACGCTATCCCTCAATGCCTGCTCTACCTGGAGAGGGCGGGAACCTTTGAAAACATATAATCAGGGAATGCCTTGTGGGACCTTTTCGTAAAGTCGCTCCTATCCATATTCACGGTTTTCCATTGATCGCTAGTCTCAAAATAATGCTTGGTGGTGTAGCTGTCTTTACAAGACAATAAGATGTGAAGATTTTTGTAGTCCTCTTGCATTACATCCCGCAAAAATCTGTTGTAGGGAACCTGTTCTTTCACTGGAACGCGATCCAGGCCATCAATGATGAGGTAAACCTTGCCGTTCTCATCATCTGCGAAGAAGTCCTGTAATATCGTCTTGAGGCACGTCATAAGTTGAGCAATCTCAGGTTGCCTTCCAGGCCATTGTTGGCAGCATCTCCTGTAGAGCTGTTTCACTCGCTGATGAGGAACTGCGAATGGGCAGAACTGCGATATGATGGTGCGGGCAAACGTGCTGAAATCAAAAAATTCGTTTTCGCGTGTGCTGCAGAAAAAATAGCCTAACATATTTCTTGGTTCCAAAAGCGCTCTGTGGTTCCTGTTAAGTTTAATGACTTCATCGAATGTTTTCACCACGATGTTGGCCACTAAAACAGATTTTCCTGTTCCTGAATTGCCAGAAATGCGCAAAAGTCTGTTACCGTTTGTTGTCCATCTTGCAACCCTAGATTGCTTTCCCAGAAGGTTCGCGGCAGCTCCTAGCGGATCTTCAGTAACTTTGTCGATGTGAAATTTAGTTTGGTCTGCTGGGCTGAGCCAATCGCCGATCCTCTTTCGGTCAGGGTTTTGTATGGTATCTGCCACTACAATGTGAATTGGATTAAATAATGGTCTCCAGGTTTGGGTATAGCGTCACTTACAAGTGCCACCCTGATATCCAAGTTCCCGCTCCAACTGTGTCCAATTTGCTGGATAATTGCTTGCTGCCATTATGATCTTGTTGTGTTATGATGCTTGAAAAGTCAGCTACTGATTGTTCTTGAGCCAAGGGTCGGGTTGTGTTTGTGCTAAAATCACGCCGCAAATGGAATGAACCTTTGTTTATTTTTCACATTCCTGATTTTTCGCTATGGCTGTTAACAACAGTCACCAGAACACTTCCAGCCCCATAAAACGTGATTTAAAACTTTTCTCGCCATTAGTAATGGATTGATGATAATATTTATTTATATTATGATAATCCTCCCAATTGATGGTGAGCTGCAATATCAACACGCGCAGCCCAGTTCAGTGTGGTGAAAAACCACTCATTACAGCCAACAGCAAGTATTATATTAGTAAGCTTGATACCAGAACTACGAAACAAAGGCTATTATATTTTCTAAAAGCAGGTGGGCTCGAATGTCCTTCTTTTGTTGAACTCCCCCACATTTTCAGAGCTCAGCGGGGAAATTCAGAGGGTAGTAATATCACACCTCCCATGATTCATACCTAGTCCTGGCTGTAGCTAACATTCCACAACAGAATACAAGGACGAATGCCTCCCTTCTTGTGTCTAAGATCCCACCACATCCAGGTTTACTAACAAAATATACATATATATATAATAGTTCGTCTGGAAACAGCTTCGGGTCTCTGAACCCTATTGATATTTCTTGTAGTATTTCTAGGACTTCGAAGCGGGAAATTGATGGATTTAATTACCCAGTTCGAGCATCTTTGCATCATAATATCAGCTTTAATTTATATTCCCTTCGCCGTAGACAGTTACAGATACGTAGTACGTATAGTAGCCGAATAACCCTGGATATGCCATACCGTATCTAGCCAGCGAAAGGACCATCATTCTAGGCTTTGAAGTCTCCATTATTACCATCGTATCCCATTGTTACATTACTTCAGGCTCGTCGAACAAAGACCCCTGGGAATGGGGAGGAACAGAAGTGATGTAGCAGCATGTTATCTGCTTTGATATCATTGAACGTCATACGTAACATCAGCTGACTATCCTATATAACATAAATAAGGTTCTAAAACTACTTTACCGCATCAGGGGAGGTTTACGACCAAGTATAAGGTGCAGTACTGCATCGCGTAAAACTGAACTTCGTGTGTCCTTGACCAAGGTATATCGATGATATAGTCCCAACTTCAGCGTCCAGGAACGCGAAAGAGTGACTGCAAAGAATCAACGCAAAGAATCAACGTGAACCCCCAAGTTAGATCAGACTGTTTTTAAACTCGTACCTCACAAATTATGTGAGAGAATCGGAGATAAATCCTATACAGTAGCAAGATTGGCCCTTTAGCGGTTGTAGACAATCGCAAGCATATGACAAGTTCAGCTCATCAAATGTTGGAAGTAATCTTACTCCCAATGGTTTGTCTTTAGCCGCTTTAACATTCAAGTCATGGTTCTCTTTTGGTTCCTCCAGTACAGAAGTTGCTCGGAAAATCAGCTATCCCCTGACTTTTCATAGAGATAAGGGTGTTTTCTCGAGCTCTTACGACTCCTGTATTTCGTTCCATTGTCGTATCTCCAATGCACCTATCTGCGACACTTCAACACTTCAACACTTACAGTAGCACCCCAATCCAATAATACCCCATAAATATCAGCCTTGTATACCACATAAAATCTTTCACGCGACCTAAGATTTATAGTTGCTTCAGGCGTTAATGATGAAACTCTCCTTTTCGCATGCCTCGCATTTCAAACAAGATTATCCAGAACTAAGGCTGTAGCTGTGTGTCTTACCGTATATAATGGTTGGCAAGAGTCTGCTCTCTTGACATATAAAGTCTCTCTCTCTTCCGTTGATAGAAGCACTATAGTACCATTATGTATCTGTACGAGTAAAGTTTCACCTTGCTAACCAGACAAGTTCTCTTCCGATTAAGTTGACTTTCAACTAGCTGAGAGCTATAGATAAGGTTCAAGCACTAATTCGAACAGTTAAAAAGGTGAGGCTGGTGTATTCATCTAGTGCGAGAATTTAGCCCTCACTAAGAATCAAGAGTGATATATCTGTAGACCAATTTCTGAGTCAGTCCAAGACGAGAGGTGACAACCCAAAACTGCATAGGGTGGACCGACCCTGAAGCTGATTTCAAACTCCGTGATTATAAACCAAACAAAGTGACTCATCTGCCATTGAGGTATGTTTGTGGATTTCAGAGTCATAATTCGAAAGAATTAATTGTCTCTCATTAACGGGGCATCCGGCACTCGCTTACCAGTTAGTACTCACTTGTTAGTCACACATGTATGCCTTCCTCGCTTATTTTGGGGCCAGTCTAATTTATGAATTTCATACCAGGTAAACATACTTTAGAGTATAGAGTAGAGTGTGTTGAGAATGTGAATCCAAAAGAACTCTCGCAGAGAAGAAAAAGGGCGTCATAATACCGGGCCCTCGCTACCATTCACCCCACCACCACGATTGGTGCTTCGCAGTATATTAGTGGCCGAGGTTACCCCGAAGCTATGACTGGCCACTTCCTGGCTATGTGGGCTCCGCAGGCTCACACTTCCCACAATTCGCGTCACACACGCAGATAAAGAAAAAGGTTCCCTTTGGTTGTGCGCTTTCGTTTTTCCGACTCGATTTCGTATCGCGCATACGGCATACGACGATACAGATACCTCAGCACATCTGCATCCAGGCTTTGAAGCGTCTGCCACCGCCAACATGAGTGACGCCCAGGCCAACGAGGCCGAGAAGAACATTGAGATCTGGAAGGTGAAGAAACTCATCCGGCGCCTGGAAGCTGCCCGAGGAAATGGAACTTCCATGATTTCCCTGATCATTCGTGCGTGTCCTCCTCAAGCCTCAAACGTGGCTGTGGCTGTATGCGCTGCGTGCTAACCCTCCTTCCAGCCCCAAAGGATCAAGTCTCGCGAGCAGCGAAGATGTTGGCTGAAGAATACGTGCGTTTACCCCTCCCCTCCACTCGGTGGAGTCCACCTGCTGACCGTAATAGGGTACTGCTTCGAACATCAAGTCCCGTGTCAATCGACAATCCGTCCTGTCTGCCATCACTTCGACCCAGCAGAGACTCAAGCTATACAACAAGGTGCCACCAAATGGCCTGGTGGTCTACTGTGGTGAAATTTTGACCTCGGAGGGCAAGGAAAGAAAGGTCAATATCGATTTCGAGCCCTTCAAGCCGATCAATACCTCCCTCTACCTTTGCGACAACAAATTCCATACCGAGGCCCTTGCTGAACTCTTGGAGTCAGACCAGAAATTTGGTTTCATTATTATGGATGGTAACGGAGCTCTGTTCGGCACCCTCAGCGGGAACACGCGCGATGTTGTTCACAAATTCTCGGTCGATCTCCCCAAGAAGCACGGTCGTGGTGGTCAATCTGCCCTCCGTTTCGCACGTCTTCGTGAGGAAAAACGTCACAATTATGTCCGCAAGGTTGCTGAGTTGGCTGTCCAAAATTTTATTACGGCTGACAAAGTCAACGTGGCCGGTATTATTCTTGCTGGTTCAGCCGATTTCAAGAACGACTTGAACCAGTCTGATCTTTTCGACAACCGCCTTCAAACTAAAGTCATTAAAGTAGTTGATGTGTCATATGGTGGTGAAAACGGATTCAACCAAGCCATCGAACTCTCCGCTGAAACTTTGAGCAATGTCAAATTCATCCAGGAGAAGAAACTCATCGGAAAGTATTTTGATGAGATCAGTCAAGACACTGGCCGTATTTGCTATGGTGTTGAAGATACATTGAAGGCACTTGAACTAGGTGCTGTGGAAATTCTGATTGTCTTTGAAAATCTTGAAATCAACCGCTGGACTCTCAAGGATGCCAGCGGGAACATTGTTGTTCTTCATACTACCAAGCAATCCGAGGCAGCCAACCGTGAACAATTTATGGACAAAGAAACCGGCCAGGAAATGGAAGTCGTCACCCAAGAGTCCTTCCTCGAGTGGATCGCTGAAAAGTACAAGGACTTTGGTGCGACCCTCGAGTTTGTTTCCGACCGTTCTAGTGAAGGAAACCAGTTCGTGAAGGGATTCGGAGGTATTGGAGGACTTCTTCGATACAAGGTCAATTTTGAGCAGTTGGCCGAAGTCGATGACGATGATGATTACTACGACGGTTCGTTCCCTCTTGCAATTTTGTTTTTGTTTTAACAAAAGACTTCAAAGACTAACGCCATATAGATTGACAGTTTGATGCCCTCGCATTGAGCGAGGGAACAACTCTAGAAGTCCCGTCAAGTCAAAGTCTGTCACCGAGCCCTCGCGCCGTGCAGCAGATTCCGAAGCAGCCCACATATGGTGCTAGGAAAGGCCCAGTAGCCCGCCCGAGCCCTCTTCGGTCAGTTATGACGGCCTCTTGAGTTGAGAACAACGCCAGCAGAGGTACGAGATCATCAATGAACAGTTGAAATTAATGCTAACATTAGTAGTAGCGAGGTAGTAAATCGATGATTATGCTCACCCTGAGTCGCTGCGGGAGAGAGGGGAAGTACGTGAGGATCGGGCAGATTGCTTTTGTCAGAATTTACACTGTCTTTAAAATTTGCGGACTCTAAAAAATTCTTGACCAGAAAGAACTCATGGCCTACAAACTTAGGCTAGGATGGAGAAATTGAACAACACTTTCTGATCATAAAAACAGTTATCTCTTGCGATGACCTCACCTGACTTGACGGAGAGTGAATACCTAATCTAGAGCCTGTTGCTGTGAACATTTGTTCTTGTACTTGGCCAATCAAACAAAGTGCCTAAAACTGCCAGCAAAATTCACCAGATTCCAAGATTCAAGAATTGTGCCATGAACAATCTACAATTGCTCTTTCAGGGGGACTTACCGCTAAATCCGTTGGCATATTACCGTGAACGTGGCTGTTATTTACCCCTGAAGCATTCTGAAAGCTAGTAATGTGAGCTGCTTAGTAGAGTGCTAATGAAAAGTTGATGAAAATGCTTAGTATGAATTGACTGCATGTATAGATTTTGAAGGGGCTGTAGAAGTAAGGCGAGAAGTAGGTTTAAAGAAGCGCGATCGGGAAAGTAGAAAACAAACGTCACGAGCTACGAAGGAAGGACGGAGGAAGGAAAATGATGTGGTCTTGGGATCCTCGTTCATTATCACATCAAAACATCAAAACATCGAACTCGTGATCAATCTGCAAGGTGATGTAGTGCTAGGTGAGGCAGGCAGTCCAGCTTCCATGGAATAGTAATGAATGCTTTTGTATGCAACGCTCAATGTCAAAGTAAATATAGACCAAGTCTCAATCGTCAACTCCAAACTCCTTCCTATCCCTTCATTCACCTTCTGCTTTTAACTTGCAAAGTACAGTACATGGAGTCAGAATTCGACTAGACAATCGCACCACCGCGCTTCCCGGATTTGCCAAAGATGCTAAGAGCAGCGGTTACCACGACCATCCCGAACATCAGCCAAATAAATGCGGTATCGGCTTGTACCATCCGACACCGACTCGTGAGTTCATTGAAGATATCTTTCCTGGACGAATCGTTGGTGAACTTGAGTTGTGAGGGGCGGAAAAGGTTCACGTGTTTGTTTAGATATGTATCGAGGCTTAGGCGGCCGTCAGAGCAGGATCCTACCCCGGTTTTGACTGCGAATGCCTAGATAACCTCACGTTAGAGAATGAAATGAAACGGGAATGGGTGCAAGGGCTTACGATTCCCCCTGCGGCGAAGAAAAATGCTGATAAGCCGTCCAGCGCGAGGATGATGATCCCTTGGATAGCTTCTACGAAACAAGCTGCTATGCCGATGAGTGACACTAGTAGTCCTAGAGCACCACAAAAGGCTCCGTAGATTATTAGAGTGCTCTCAGGCATCTTGTCTTTATTTCCTCCAAGGGAGGTGGGACCGAAGCCCGTGATGAGGGAGACTGAGAGTCCTAGGACTACGGCCGCGAAGAGGAGCTGGAGAGTAGGGTGTTAGTGATGCATCTTGAAGGGTATAAATATGGAGAGCTTACTTGAAAACCTCGGGCTGCGAGTGTTACGATCATGATGAATGGATATTAAGAGTATCGATGTGTATACAAAATAATTTTCTTCAAGGGGATAAATGAAAATAATGTAATTCGGAGGAATAATGGATCACGACTTAAACAGCCTTCAATAAAAGAGAAGCGAGAGACAGAGAAAGAGTGGAAATCAATCGTATTATAACCCTTTCAACCCACCACCCAAAAGCAACAAGGTTGACTCACTGCCCCTCCATATCTTTAGATCAACTACCAACCGAAGCGGATCTCCAGGCTGTGCTCCCCATTCTCGTCCAAAAAGCAACATATCAGGCAACAAGACCCCAATTTAGTTCTCCAGAACCAATGATACTTGGAGGAGCTTCACGTCAAAGGTCGGGAGGCAGTGAGCTCCAACATACCACCCGCAGCGTTGAGGCGGCAGAGCAGCGGTAGGATGAGGGCACAGCGTTTCAGGGAATTGATTGCGGCCCTCATCCTCTTTGAGAGTCTCTGGGGCGGCGGTATGTTACTTGATTGACGCCTGAGGACCTGAGGTGACATCGTGATGGGGTTCATCCATCGTTGGGAGGTATTGTTTACCTCATGAAAGGGGTTGCTGCCTACCGAGTTCCATTTATTTTCTCTGGAATCCCCGCAGGAGCTAACCACATGGAGATTGAACAAGCAGCAGAGATTGTCATTACCTCTCGAATGAAATTGGAAAATGTGTTTTGCTGAAGATAATGAAAAGAGGATGCACAGAGTTGAAACAAGTAAAGAAGCAAAGTGTTGTACAGAATTGACATAAAAATGAGACTGTGCGATCTGGCGTGGGTGAGAACAGGACTGGTTGGGATCCACTAGTCTGCCCCCAATCCCGTGCCTCATCGAAGATCTGTCGCTTATTGGCTATTAGCGATCTAATCTGAAGCGCAATACGATCCCTCGAGTCCCTACCAACCAACCACGATACGCCGCAGTTTTGGCGTGCATATGTCCAGACTCAGCCCAGTAGAAGTTTGAAAAGTAAGCTTGAAGAGCTGCGACTGTACTCGGCATCTCTGTTCTGTGTACAGTGGGTATCCCCTCACTTGCGTGCAGAATCGCACTTGGTGGCCTATGCGAGGGGAGGAACACCAACTTTCTCGTTGCAGGATATTTGATATTCACTCACTTTCTACTACCTCGGCACTAGTGGAACTAGCTTCATCACTGAGTATTACAGTAATGCCCACCTGTACCTTACTTTTACAATTGAAGAGTTCTCCCCTTTCTATCGAACAACAATATGTGGTCTCAAGGGGATACTTCAATAGTAACTCGCTTATTCAACCTCACGCAAATACCAATACTTTATTTACCACTTTATATACCAGTATGTATTTATATATCTATTATGAGGTCTCTTCATTAAAAGCATAGGAGGAAAAAACGTAGCCATTCTAGCTCTATCAAGTACATTAGTACATCTTTATACTACAGTAATTAATGATAGAACTTTTTGTCCAAACAGGATTTGATTCCAATATGACTCCAAGCTATATTCGATAACTGAGGACTTAGAGCTTTTGCGAGTTTTGAAAAATCCGGGATTCCCTTCCGAATATACCAAACTCTATTAATCAAAGGCAAACGGGCCGTTAAAGTTTGCCATTCTCACCATCCAAAATACTTCGTCCCAGGCATAATGAAAGTTGAGTTGACGGGTGGTTTTACCCTGTACGTCATTGAGTACTCCCTGTAGACTGAACTTCGATTTCGAAGCGCTTCATTCCTAACGTGTTTTTCGTAACATTCCCAGGTTAGCTTCAATGGAGAACAGGATAAAAGTATCCGTAAAAGTTGTAATTATTACTCTATGCTTTGGATGAAGAAGGGATGTAGCCTACAAAGTACCTCATTGTTCTAGGTTTAACCATCCTACTATTAGGATGGCTCCTTGCGAAGCAAAGGGGTCCTATATTACGAAGAAGGGATAAAATATTCATCCAGCTAAGACGACTAGATTGGTTGAGTAGACATACAATGGTATATGGAAGTTCAAATGCTTGTTTGTTAGATTCTTGGGAGTCTTTCGGGTGGCTGAAATATGATTGTAGATTGAGTGTCTATTGAGTACCACTAAGCTACCCAGTCCCGAAAGACGTCAAGAAACTTGATATATATAGCTATGACCATGCCCTTGTTCCAATTTTAAACCTCCGACTGAGTCGGGATCTGACTGGGGTGTCTGTGACTTTCCATAACTCGGCCTCGTAACTAACTTGTTACAAGCCGACTTGGAAGGGTTCACTTCTTTCCATGAATGATCTAACCACAAGACGGTATATATATATATATATACGAGTGAACTCCCCCATTCAAACTCCAAGTTATCTTTATTGACATTTCCGACTCTCGATACTCCATTCCCACCTCTGAACAACAATTCTTTCAACATGCGCTTCGCAACAGTACAACTCTTCCTCGCCACCTTTGCGACGCTATCTAGCGTTGTAATTGCAGTAGGTGGTGGTATCGAGGGGGGAAACGCCTCTGGTGGCCCTGTACCAAAGACGCGACTTGCAAATGGTGCGCCCCATTTGAGATTCCGTTCTGTGGGTAAGTAAATCTTACATATGATTAGAAAAAGGATATGATACTTTGTGACTAATCTAAGATGTTTTACAGCCCCGGTGGTTTTTGTAATTGTAAACCCAAGTAGATAACACTCGACATGTATCAACAATTCTTATGGAGTATTTGCATACAAGATTAGTTAGATATACAATGGTTTATTGATTTTTTATTAATTGGCCTATAGCGATACAACAATGCCGAAAATCCTATCAAGTTACTCAAACTCAAATTGAATCAATTACTTCTACTTGCCTTTTGTCTTCTGTGATACATGCTCATGTGAGTGTCACCTTTAATTTGTGTCTCGTAGGTAAGGTTTGTAACTTCGCGTAACTCATCCTTACTTATACAACTGTAGCATTGCAAACTTACTTTTGGAGTTTGCCATTCTTATAATCCGAAGTACTTCGAAGTATGTCCCAACTATGAGATAAGTACAGATGAAGCTTGAAGTAAGAATGTGGTTTTTATACTTCATTTAGCCTTGTGCTTCGTCGTAACTACTGGTACTTACAGCATTATAACCCTATTTGTAAAGTTTGCTGGTCTCACGATCCGAAGTACTCGGAATTACTGTATGTGCTGGTGTGTGTAGCTAATCGGAGTCGCAATCGATTGGATGAAACGTACCTAGGTACAATAATCGTACATGACAGTAGTAATCTATACTTTAGTTCCCCTGGTTGGTTGGTATTGATCAGAAAAGGGGAACTGATGTTGTATCGCCTCGGCAGCAAATCGGCAAAGGCCGCTGTTACTGCATGTATCCTTCCGGACCGGACACCGATCGGAACTGCGGTACTCGTCTTGGTACTCATACTCTAGATGTGCATCCCCAATTCAAATGCCATCTGCCATCTCGTATCGCAGAGTATGATTTCTTCATGACCTCCCCATCCGACTATCCGCAGTCGCAAACCATCCAAGATGAGTTAGACATTCTCGAGAAGCATCTGCAAGATGCAAAGGCACGATTGAAGGAGGGTGCCCCTCCTCGTGCCCCGCGGCTCCTTGTCGCCAATGAAGGTACGGTATTTATAGCATCAGGATTCCAATGTTGTCTGATCCAGATGAAGCTCATCTGCTAACATTCCCAAGGGCCATTTTCAACTTCATCTCAGCATTTCCTGCTGCTCCTTTCCGACTCGGCACTCCCACTGGGTTCCTTCGCATTTAGCAGTGGGCTGGAATCCTATCTCGCGCATACTCGTCCCAAGTCCTCTTTTCCCGCATTTCTCGACTTCTCCCTCGGTTCATATGCCTCGACGACTCTGCCGTTTGTTTTGGCGGCGTATCGGAATCCAATTAACCTGGTAGAACTGGATGATACTTTGGATGCGGCGATTATGTGCACCGTTGGTCGGAGAGCCTCGGTAGCTCAAGGAAGAGCTCTCCTCTCGATATGGGACCGGTCGTTTGCTAGTGCGCTTCCTGATGGGGGTTCAAAAGAAGCAGTAGCCGTGTTGAAAGAATTCGCCATTCTCCTTCGCGCTACGTCGCCCGTGGCCACGAATGATTTGCCGACAGCATCTGCCCATTTAGGACCGTTGTTTGGAGCAATTGCTTGTATCCTTGGGATGAGCCTTCGACAAACAGCATATGTGTTTATGCTAAGCCATGTGAAAGCGCTGCTTTCCGCTGCCGTTAGAGCGAGTATCTTTGGACCGTACCATGCACAGAAAATATTGGCTAGTGTTGAGGTTCAGGAGGGAATTGGTGGGGTGATTGAGAGAGTGTGGGATACTAGTATTGAGGATGCGGGACAGAGTGTTCCGATTATGGATCTTTGGGTTGGGAGACATGAGATGTTGTATTCTAGGATATTCAATAGCTGAGAAGTAAATCATGTCTACGGTCTCAATATGTAATAAATGTGGTGTTATTAGTATGAGATCCGGAGAAAATTGACCACCATTAAGTGAGAGACTCCAAGGTAGTCGCCACAAAAAGTCATATTGCAGGTTCGGTGGCATAACCGAAATTGACAAAAAGGAGGCATGTCTAAGGACGGGAGTTTAGCTGCAGCTCAACTTTAGTGCTGTAAGAGAGTACTCACAACTGGTAGCTATGCAATGAGCAGTAGTAGCCGTTCTGCGTATTTTCTAGCAATGACGCTCAGAATTCTTTCCCCATCATACCCTCTAGACATATATCCAGTTACACGCCAGGCATTTTCTAATTGCAATATTTCCGAGTGCTATAGGCAGGAAATTACCTTTGCTTTAAGAACATCTCAGCCGGGAAGAGCGCCACAGATTCCCTCTTCAGAGCCTGGTTATATTGCGACAGTATGTATCTAGAGAGTAGGAGATTGGGTTGTAAGATACATTTTAGTGCCGAGAAGCGCTGATGTTTGATTGATGAATAGTCCTAAAAGCGAAAGGTTTATTAAGGAATTTTCATTAGTCGCAATCACTACTACTTACTTATAAGAGTATATAATAAGTCTGTATGGTGAGATTCGTAATCGACGAATAAGAAATTAGTGACTTTGATATGTAAGATAACTTTTCGTGAAGAATACCTATATGGCTGATTGTAATAGTGGTTTGTTAGAACTTGGACTAACCCAAATTTACTAAGACCTGAATATAATGAAGCGGATTTTACGACTTTAGCTAGTCTGTGGTTCCCTTTGTTTCTAATTATCGCTAGCTATATTTGTGTTGTTGGGAATTTGTGTCTATACAAATAACCACGTATATAGTTAGCCTTGGAATCTACAGATAAAAGAATAAAGTTATGAATTATTCTCTAATTAAAAATACCATACCATTTTGAAAACTACAACTTTGAACACAAAAGTTTCAAGATTTACATACCATTGCAAACTATTACCCCAGTTATCCCTTTCTCAGAAAACTTCAGTTATTACGAATGTTAAGCTAGAACCCCATTTTTTGCAAACTGGTATCTTTCTTTGGTGAAGTGGGCAGATACCAACCTCTTCTGACGTATTGGTGATATTACTTCTGCTAATGAGTATTAAGTTATCCCTTCCAGAGTATCGAGACACAAAAAAAACGTGCACTCAAAGTGGATAGAAATGGATACGATAACTGGGTCGGATTGAGGCTCAAATGCTTGGAACCGTTGCCTGGTTGGCCAAATGACTTGTGTTCTACGGGGAAGATGTTGTAAAAGTGGATATTTTACTCCACTTCTACTCCACTTTGAGTGCACGTTTTTTTGTGTCTCGATACTCTGGAAGGGATATAGTATGCGAGTAAAACCTATAGAAATCATAGATGGGATCAAGGGGATCTAAATAGTAAGATACCTTGATTTTACTCTGTACACATTATGTAGAAGTTAATATACTAAACTTCTAGTATAACTAAAATATCTGTCTTAGTATACCTAGGCTAATAAAACGTAAGCGTAAACAATTATTTTGAACTCTTTATATAACTATTTTAGTTATGCGAGGCTTTCAAGATAATATTATTCTAAGAGAGGTGTACAGAGTATCAACCACGTTACTTACTGGTAGCTTCATTTTCGGAACAAAGTTTTCCAGTGGTTGCAGAGTTTGGGATTAGCGAGTGTTTTCAAGAGGGGGTTTCGTGAATTTATTTTCATGGAGGATATGTATCATATGTTTAACTTGTAACTCCTATAATTACCCATTCAAATTAACATGTTACAAGCTAAAACCCGTATCTTCATTGCTTGAATTCAAGTCCTGTAGACCCTGCGTCTTCAGAAAATCAGGCTTTACATTCAGTCCAGATTCGCGAAGGTTATACAAGACGAGCAAATAAGATACGGCAGTTGAAACCCCAGTTACTCCTCTATACTCGTCTAAGATGTGTGAACACGTGCATTTTGGGATTTCGAAGACCCTTGTCTGGAACATGCAAGGTCAGCAAGTAGTAAGACTTATGGTCCACGGCGGGCAGTCTATAAATGATGGAGTGTGGTACACAAGGTTGAGTGGTAGAAACCCCGCATTATACGTTTTTGGCTTCAAAGGCCACCTTAAGTTCGGATTTCATGTGAGAAACAGCATTGAATTGCCTCAAAATCGATATCAATCATTTTCATGTGCTGAATCTCTTATACAGTATTCCAGCAAAAATGTCGGATCGACTAGCTCAGGCAAAGGTTGTTTGGTGGAATAGCTCGCTGATGTACGATCTCTGTCCCCACTGCGAGACAATTCATCGTCACAGGTTTGATGGCAACTACACTACAAAAAAGCTACGAGTTTCCCGCTGCCACCGAATTGATATTTCTGGCCGTTACGAGATTCGATTTCCATTTAACGAGGTATCCAAAGAAGCCGACTACGAAATTGACACAGAGAGGGCCCTCTTCGTTGCAAGTGGAGAAGATCCCACCGACTATTTTCTGGAGATAGAAAGCGACGCCCGTCTGCCACGTATGATCAAGGCAATAAAATCTCGTCGTAGGTGGTCAGAGGCGATTGAGGAGGACAATAAGCTGGTGTGTGAAAAACGTATGGCTTTCTCACAGAGCAATTTCAAAAGTATTCAGGCTTCGCAGCCTCGCAGGCCGGTGGCGGCGCACTTCATTTCCCCTCTTTTCTATGATTATAACAATCAGTATCGTTGGTGCTTTGAGAGTTGGCGCTTCTTAGTTCACGAACCAACGGACTACAAAGACTCTAACTAAGAATAGGAACAGAAAATAGCCACAAAACCTGAGGCTCCCAGCGCCGTCAACAGGAGGCCCCAGGAGATACTTGAGTACTGTAGTGAATCCTTTCAAAAGCGCCCCAAAAAATTCCAAAAAAGGACAAAGATATTCTATAATCTTCTTTTCCTATTTAGGTTTAGTAAGAGCATTTTTGGAGGGGAATTTAAGGAGAACTTACATTTACTTACGACTGAGCGGTCTGACGCTTGACCAGGGCGCGTTCAAATTAACAGGGAAAACAGTTAGTGGTGATGGCGCTTATGGGAATTGGTGCATATGGGAGCACACACTAACTGACTGGGCCATGCAGGCAGTTTTAATCCCAGTTTTAATGATGGTGGCTGTCTTAATTCCACATATGAATATTGTTTTGCTACTTTTGTGGGGGTTTGGCTAAGCGAGAGGTTGTGATTGGTTGAATGAAACCAACTCAGGCAAATACAGAAAGAACGTTATGACCGCTCCCAAGGATCTTCCCACAACAAGGAAAACATTTTTGCACGAGAACAAGATTGGAAAGCTATGATCTATTTGCTTGAAGGCGGCGCAGAAACCTCATTTCAGAATCAATATCGCTTACTAGGGTTCGCATTCAAGAAGTCACCCATGAAGGAGACCCTCATGACGCTTGTTGCTCATTTCAAAATACCTGATAAGTGGAAGACTGTTGCTGTTATGTGCTGAGGGGACCCTTTCCCTACTGTAGCTGCAATGAGTGGTTGGCATGAAAAAGGACCTGACGAAGGTAACATTCAGCTTGCGGGGAGAAGTTGGACAGACCATGTTTTTCAACTTTGCAGACCATGTTTTACCAACTTTGCAAACTCATCGGGTATCAATTACCACAGGATGGGTATGACAAGGGAAGACCTGGTCAATACTATGCCACCCATGCGGAAAAGCAGCTATACGTATACTTTGTGAAGAAACATATGTTTCCATCCCAAATAAGGGGGACTAGCGGCATAGATGAAGTAGAACAGATAGCCAACGAGATAACTAATTTGAACTTGAATGAAGGCTTGAAAATGGGACATGGAAGGATTGGGGAAACAGAACGGCATGGGAAGCATTTGTCTGACCTGTTGAAGGCAGAGCCACCTGCCAAGCTTAGGAAGGCGACAATTATGGTGTGTCGCTCAGTCTGTGGTGACTGCAGGAAGTATGTGAAAACCGCAAATGCAGCCCTAGGCATAGACATTGAGGTTTTTTATAGTTGTCTTTAGAATGCTTGCAGCTTTCTCATATACACCATGTGGGGATCAATAGTACTGAATGACGCCAGAAGGTTTATGGAGTGGAAGATTTATATTTAGTACATTTCAAAACATATTGTTGTGCTATTCTTTTACTTTCGTACCTATAAGGTCATGAACTAGCTAAATCTATCAAACAAAAATTGGAGACTTGCTTCAACACTTCCTGATCACTTGTTAGCATTCAACTAATTGGAGTCCTAGTAAAACTTCCTGTAAATAGGTGTCTCTCTTTTCCATTTACCAAGTGTGGCAAGGGACTCCAGCTAAACTTACGAACGCCTGTAGATGTATCTGTGTAAGAACTATATAATGTGAAGTTTTGACGGTATGTGACTCAAGTTAATAAGTTCACAGTTCAACGATAAGCAGCTTTAATCTTCTCCTGTATTAGATATAATGCATCTAGAAAGAATAATGTAATTTCTATATAACTCATAGGAATTTTGCAAGAAACTATAACTTCACTGGTAGTTGTAGAAGGCTGCTACTACTTGCTTTCTACTCTGAAGGGCTATTGTAGGTACGTGGAGCTGGACAGGCAAGAGGAACCGAATAACGTGACTTCTTTGTTTCATGTTACCAGCTAAAAGCTACCTATTGAGGCGGCATTGGATGAAACTGTGCATCCGTTGAGACGGGGCGAAATATTCGCCGAGATTAAGGTCGTCATCAAAGGTGGTTCCATGTTTTTGAAAATTGATCCTCTTCTTTCAAAACAACCCACCAAACAACCAACTAGCACAACAACACAACCACAAACCGATTACCCTCTCCGCCATCAATCTTCCCCACTCTATGCTCGCGTGAAATCAAACCTCATCACTCTCACCATGGATGACCAAAACCCCTCCTCTGCGACTGTCCGTGAACCTCCTCAGTCTTTGTCTTCCGATCTTGTCCTCGTATCCTCTCCATCAGCACAAAACAAGTCTCACGAACCAACGCTAGACAACAACACTCCGAGAACCCTTCAAGATTGCTTGCCATCTGTGTCTCGCAGAACCAGGCCACGCAGAACCTTTCATAAGTTCAATTGTCTGCCCCTAGAGCTTAAGTGCTTGATTTGGGACTATTCATATGAACAAAGAATGGTTGAAGTACGTCTTAACCCCCTCTCTGACCAAAACGGCATTCACGACTTCGTCTCCACACATCACAATCCCTCAGTCCTGCATACCAACAAAGAATCACGCAATCACTATCTCGGAAAGTTTATTCGTTTGGGTAACTCAACAAGTCGCAATGATATCTACTTCCATCCAGAGATCGACATAATCTACATCAGAAATCTTGAAGATCACAACCCTCAGTTGAACGCTGCTGGTTTGCACGCCGAAGAAGTAGTGAGACGCATCCCAAACAAGGAAAAGATTAAAAACCTTGCAGGCGACTGGTGGTTTGCTGAAGGAAACATAGAAGGATTGGATAACCATGAATTTAACATTCTATCCTGGGCTTTCCACTTTCCCTCTCTCAAACGACTCTTCCGAGTTGAGGAGTTCAACTATGAAGCTTATTGCTTCGGCTCGGACTTCATTGACCATGAACATAACGATGTGCACCGAGAGATTAATTTCGGAGACAACCTGACCGAAAAACGAACATACTTCACCGCCATTGGTCACAGCAGCTTTTTCAATGAAGACCACAACGATGTCGGCCTTTCACTGGATATGGTATCTCATTTCTTGGAAAAGAGGCAATTGATCACATGTAGGAAGAAGTGGGAGAGAATGTTGGAAGATATCGTAATGCTAGGAGGATTGGGCGAACCGTGGACTTCAGCAGTGGCACCTCCTATTGAGGAATTCTATGATGTTCTTGCATTCACCTGCCACATCCCAGCGGAAGATTATTATTGTTACTGAGTTGTGTGATAATGGATCATGGGGGGATGGATATGATGATGGCTAGAAAAAGAAGACTATGTATAAGGGGAGTTTTGAGGAAACTGACAGCACGATGATCAAATCATTGACGTTGCGGATTTATACATGGAGTTCTTTTGATCAATCGCTCAATGAAAGGATAGTCATACATACATAGAATGCTAATTCAATTTGGGAAGACTTTCCTCTGCTGCAGATTCGCGGCCATCTTTTGAAGACTGGCTACTCTCTTCTTGCGATCGCTGAAATGAACTCGTCTCCTTGCCTTTGAATTCGGAACCTTGAAGGCAGTAAGATTTCCTGGACACGCCTTTTGGCTTGCAATTATACATCCAAAATACCGTAGCATATGATAACCACCAAGTCACGGAAAGCATCATTTCAAGAAAGACGGCACACAATTTTTAACAAAAGGTAAATTTCCATACATAACTAAACTCCTTTTAGGCCGACCCTGCAAAGACTTCCTGCAGCAAGTATGATACATCAACAAACGCCAAAGCAAACTATGCAAGAATCGAAAATAACCTTATCCTGGTCATCGATCCAATTTGCTCTTCAAAACAATGTGCACGTACGTCCGCTATTTATTCGCTGTCGTCACTCTCCACAACCTTCTTTCCTTCCTTCTTGGCCTTCTTCTCTTTCTTCTCCTTCTTCTTTCGCTTTCTCTCAGCCTTTTCCTCTGCTGTCTCACCCTCATGACGCTTGCGTTTCTTTCCGGCATCGTCTCCAGCGTTGCTAACCATTGATGTATCTGGGTCGAAAGCTACCGCGGCAGGAGTTGCTGCGGGCTCCTCCTTGGCTTCGATTTTGGCAACTTGAGTGGCGCTTCCATCGAGAGGAGCATTGTAGTCCTTGTATTCGGTGTTCCACTTGCTTGGTGTTGCCTCGTTGGGTCGGCCGTATTTGTCGAGCTTGCCATCAGACTTCATCTTCTTCTTTTCCAATGCAACTGGTCCCAATCCCCATCTCCTTGGGTAGAGATCTCTCTCCATGATACAACGCTTGACCTTGGCAACTACTCCGTGGTCACAAGTAGAAAGCTCGACAGTTGACATTTGAGCGATTCCAAGAGCGACGGCCTCTCCTTTGGTGGTCATGAGAACAACCTCCTCGTGAACCTCGATTCCAGCCTCTGTGATGTTTGTTAGTGAAAATACTCCTCAACGCGATTTGGAAGAAAATTTACCATATCTCAATAGACCCGGAATCATGAGCTTAGCACCATAGCATACAGCGTTGACTGCGCTATCCTTGACAACAATTCTTTTGTAGGTAGTAAGAAGTGTCTCCAATGGCGAGATGACCGTTCTTAGGTAGGATTCGTCCATAGTGTTGTCCTGCATCCATTGTGCATCCAAGACATCGTGAAGAGTGACCATTCTAACATTCTCGTCCATAGCTCCACTTCGAACTCTTCGGAGCTCCTGCATGTGTGCACCGACTCCCAAAAGCAATCCCAAATGTACGCAAAGTGTACGGATATATGTACCAGCCTCGCAACTAACCCAGAAAACACCCAAATGTCTGTCATTATCGAATTCGTACAGTCTGCTCTCGTGGATGGTTCGAATTCTCAATTGTCTCTTGACAGCGGAGATCAATGGAGGTCTTTGGAAAAGGGCACCAGTCAAGGTTTCGAGTGCGCGCGCAAATTGCGCCTCACCGCCAGGAAGTTTATCGTGTAATCGGATAACACAGACATATTCTTTTCCCGCTCCTTGTTGCGACTTGACCAGTCTCGTTGCGCGATCGATACAGACAATCAGACATCCGGTAACCTTTGGATCGAGAGTACCACTGTGGCCAGTTTTCTCAACTCTGTGCGCAAAATTTGATCAGCATGTGGATGTCAGTGTCAGAAAAGTGAATGCCTCGCGCACCTTAGCATGCGCTTCACCCATGCGACAACTTCGTGACTGGAGGGGTTGGAAGGTTTATCGAGATTGATCACTCCAGAGCTGATGTAGGATTTCAGATCGCGCTTGAGTGGGGTACATCCATTGGGGATTGGGGTGAAATGTCCAGTGCGAACCAGTACTGCGAGCTTCAATTAGCAAGTTTTTCGCTTTCGCAGGTAGTCTGAGGTAGCTGTGGCATACAATTGTTGTAGTTCTTGAGGAGCAATGGCCATGAGCTGGTATCGACCGCGGGAGTCGAAGCTTCGGGCTTGATGGTGTAATCGACCTCTTGCTCTTTTTTCGCTGCTACTACCAAAGCCATCTTGACGGCGAAGAGAGATATCACGGTCAGTATATTCTCTTGTGGTTGCGCGGGTGTGGGTTGAGCAGTCAAAATCTGCTTTGCATGGACCTCGAGAACTTTTAAGAGCTTCCGATAAATTTAGCTTCGGCAAAATTTTGATATCTTGGCGTGGTGACTCCGGATCATGGAGTTACTGTTAATCCGGGACCCACTTCATGTTCCAGCTACTGCCAGCCCAGGCGTGCTAGACCTACCTAGGCTCGCCGCTCGCTAGCTACTGAGGAGGTTCAGCTCGCTGTTGAATCATACAAGCTCCTAGTGAAATGGCAAAGTCCCACTACTCCATTAGATCAACGCTAGGTGATTAACCTAGATCTCTGAGAACAACCGCCGGTGCAAATACGTCTTAATTTGTTCAATAAAAAGCAGATCAATAGAAGGCAGATCCGAGGATCACAAGCATGTCACAGCCATTACACAGCCGCTACAACAAACAGCCAAGCTCATATCACATAATAATTGGCAGAAAAATATAATTATTCGCTTCTAATACCCGCTTCCGTTGCCGAACTTTTCCTTTTCCATAAACAAACTAATAGATACACAGTCCAGTCCTCAACCAAGTCGATGTCCACTTCCCCGGGACTTCCAAGAATCAGGTAAAGGCCCAGAACCTTGCTCCGCTGACTTTGGGCGGCCAGGGGCAATCGCAGTACCATAACCTCTGTTGGTAACGGTAGTCTGTTTGGCCTCCCACATGCGTCTAATGAATCCTGGGGTAGGGAGAAGGTTTCTTCCACCACCAAACTCTGGCCAGAGCTTTGTCAAGAACAAATGCAAATGGGCTGACATGAGTCCGATCAATGATACAATTGCTGGAGTCGTGCCTGCAGTAACCCAGGTCAATAGGATGAGACAGTAAGGCATCCATTGTGCTGGTATCGTGACAACATATAAGGTAGCCATCTGTCCTCGAGCATCTTGGCTTCCTGTGTAACATAGAGCGAGGATAAGGGCCGAGGTGTAGAAACCAGGACCTGTGATCAAGTAACACAAACCCTAACAATTGTTAGTCAAAGGGGGCTTTGTACTGTGTTCCAACGGCATTGTATTCGTTTAACGCGATGAGAAATGTAGGGAGCCTCAAATACCAAAGCGAAGTAAGAGAATCGCGATAGTTGTAATTGAGGACATCCCACCATGCCCATACCGCAAAGTGGCCCTTTTGGATTGATTGACATGATGGACCAGCCGAGGTATAGGGGTAATCTTCCTCATCTCCAGGAACCGCTATAGTTGGTAGCAATGCACTACGCGGGCAGATAATGTGAGGTGCTAGAATGATAAAACATAGGAAACCTTGTCCGAAGTAGTGAAAGCTTACCAACGAAGTAAAGCACACAAATAAGATGTACGTGAAGAAATCTCCCGGTTGGCTAAACTTTGGGGATGCGGTCTCTAGCTTGGCACTGTACGTGTATACTGTCCTCGAGTCAGCCAGAGCTCACAAACAATCATTGTAGTAATGTGCTGGTGGAACCTACAAAAGTACGTATCCATTATTATCGAAAAGCCACTCCCCGTGAGCAGAAAGCAAGTTGCTATTGACCAGATATTTGGAGGCAGCTTCATCAGAAATGGTGGGTAGAAAACAAAATGAACATATGAGATCATCTTGGTATGGATAAGAATTGACATGACGGCCGCGGAGGTAGCAATTGTCCTACACTAGATCAGCATCAGCATTGATGTAGGGGGGCGGGGAAAAAGTCAATAGCTTACCTCGAAATGGGCGGGCACTGTCGCCAGTATTCTAGAGCCGACATGTTTGCGATGAGAGTCTGCGAAGCTTCCGAGATGGTAGAGAGCTCAGATATCTGTACTTGTAGGCGCGGAGTCGTAAGGGCGAGGTGTTCTTTAGTCGCTCCCCAGGCAGGCTCGGCAGGCACAGCACTTGATTGTGCCGCAATCTTGGAAAGCTTAGTAAGCAAGGTTGGGAGCCTCCCCGTGGACATGAAAAGTGGCAGAGATTCATTTGTTAACTATTAGCGTAAGTTAATTCCAAGTACTAAAATGTTTAGATATCAGCATAGTTGGCTTTATTGTCTTATCGTTTTAGATTAATCATTTTAATCAGTCTAAATAAATAAAATAATATAATAGTTCTTAGTTAAGTTGGGCTAAGATAAAAGAGGGCTCTGCCGCTTTTCTCCACTAGGAGTAGGGTAGGAGTAGGGTAGGTAGGTACCTACTACGTTGGTGGGATGGCCATACTCCGATGCCGGTCCGTTACCCCGCCAAAAACATTACCGCAGAGACTGGAAAGAGTTAGAGTGTTGATCATTTTTTCATCCATCTCCATCTCCATTCTTTGCTTTATTATCCAGAGCTCCCTTCTTTCCTCCATCTCCGTCCTTTGCTTTCTCATCTAGAGCTGCCCTTCTTTGGATTTCATCGAACAAGAATACCGCAATCATGGCTGGAGCAAAGTAAGCTTAAGCTTCACAATACCAACAATTTATGTTTCATCTAACAATGTTCCAGGAAAGTACTTATGCTCGGGGCAGGATTCGTTACTCGTCCTACACTCGACGTTTTGAGCGACGCTGGAATTGAAGTTTCCGTTGGTATAGCATTATTTCCATCGCATTCATATCATCGAGCTAATAGACCCCAGCTTGCAGAACCCTCGAAAGTGCCAAAAAGCTCTCGGAAGGCGTAAAGAACGCCCATCCAATCTCCGTCGATGTCACAGACGAAAAGGCTCTCGATGCTGCAGTTGCAAACCACGACCTGGTCATTAGTTTGATCCCATATACCTTCCACGCTACCGTCATCAAATCTGCTATCCGCAACAAGAAGAATGTAGTCACCACCAGCTATGTGTCCCCCGCAATGCTCGAATTGGAGGAGGAGTGCAAGGCAGCTGGTATCACAGTCATGAACGAGATCGGACTTGACCCTGGAATTGACCACTTGTACGCCGTCAAGACAATTGAAGAGGTACACAAGGCCGGAGGAAAGATCAAGTCATTTTTGTCATACTGTGGTGGTCTGCCAGCACCCGAGGCTTCTGACAACCCACTTGGTTACAAGTTCTCCTGGTCCTCACGTGGTGTTTTATTGGCATTGAGAAATGCTGCCAAATACTACAAAGATGGAAAGGTGGAGGAGATTGAGGGCAAAGAGTTGATGGCTCACGCAAAGCCCTACTTCATCTACCCTGGATTCGCATTCGTTGCCTACCCAAACAGAGATTCTACCCCATACAAAGAGCGATACAACATTCCAGAGGCGGACACCATCGTCAGAGGTACCCTTAGATACCAAGGTTTCCCTGAATTTATCAAGGTTCTCGTTGACATGGGATTCTTGAGTGACGAGGCCCAAGAGTATCTCAAGGAGCCAATTCCATGGAAGGAGGCTACTCAGAAGATCTTGGGAGCTACTTCAAACTCAGATCTCGACCTCACATGGGCAATTGAGTCTAAGACTGCCTTCAAGGATACCGAGGAGAAGGAGCGTATTGTTGCTGGACTTCGTTGGATTGGTGTTTTCTCTAATGAGAAGATCATCCCCCGTGGTAACCCACTTGACTCGCTTTGCGCCACTCTCGAGAAGAAGATGCAATTCGAGGAGGGCGAGCGCGATCTCGTCATGCTTCAACACAAGTTTGTCATCGAAAACAAGGATGGTAGCAAGGAGACCAGAACTTCGACCTTGGTTGAGTACGGTGACCCAAAGGGATACTCTGCTATGGCCAAGTTGGTCGGTATTCCATGTGGTGTGGCTGTTAAGCAAGTCCTTGACGGTACCATTTCTGAGAAGGGTATTCTTGCTCCTATGTCCTCCAAGCTCAATGATCCATTGATGGCTGAGTTGAGAAAATATGGCATCTTCTTGGTTGAGAAGACTATCTCATAGATAGACTATTTGGTAGACGATCTTATTACAGCTGGATGGTCTTTACTTAAAAGCTTATAGAAATCAAATAAATTTACAAAATACAAATGCTGAAGCTTCCAAATATTCGTCCTCATTTCCCGATACGACTCTGTCTCTTCGCTGTGTAATGGATGAGTGAACAAGCGACATGAATTAAAAACAGGCTTTCCTCTCCTACATCCTCTGTAGAACACCATTCGTAAGCACCGTTGCAAATACAATAGCATGTTTCTTGTGTCTTTATCGCCTTTTCTCCCAATTTATACGCGCTACTCGAAAACCCGACCATGGTTTCCTCTCGTATTCTCGAGCTCCATTCTTTTTTTTGTTTTTGTAATTCGGTAGTTGTCGGATTATGAGGCAACACTGGATTATGAGGCAAGTGTTGTGATAGAACAACTATCTCTACTAAGAAATGTAGAGCAGACTTCCTCATTTATAGGAAACTCTTCAAACGTGCTAAGTATCCCAGACGTTTGAATCCATTTCAACAGCAAGTAACTAGGGAAGGGTGGAGGTACACAAACCCATCCCTCACTACTCTACTTGCATGCAATGAACTAACAAACATCTACTTATTCACCCACACCCTCGCACCCTCCCACCTCTCCATCCATAACCACAAATGATCACTTCAGTTACTAACGTATCGACTCCTACCCTTAAGTCTTCTCATGGCTTAGCGGTAAGAACAATCATATTACAATCCGCGCTCTCCCTCGAGCACTGCCGCTCGTCGGGGTCCCGTGAATCGCCCTGGGAATGGGTTCATTAGCGCTCTATATTAACTCCCTCCCCTCCAGTAGTGCATTTGAGATTGGGATGCTAAGTCTTGTAGGTGTTATGATTTAGCTGGACCTCTGCCGAGTTGGGTGTTGAGCAGCTGGGGATGTGATCCTTTATTCTATACTTTTTTTGGTCGGGTTTTTGGTAGGTGTTAGTGAGAGGGAGATGGGCCAAGGGGAAAAAAAGGGGAATGTTTGGATGTTTTTTTGATATGGGGACTGTGATGGTTTGATGGGGTGTTTTGTGTATTCACTTTGCTTCTTTGTTAAGGGGGGTGGAACAAGAATGACCTCGTAAATTTAAATCTTACTCTAGGGTTAGAGATAAGGCTATTATTTACTTACGAGTGTGCTTGTCTTATGTTCATATGTTTGAATGAACGAACGGAGTATATGACTGGTGTTACCACGTAACTCTGCTTTGCTACGGAACTAATCTATAATCTATGCATTAATCAGATTTGTAAAAATAAGAGGGATTCTTGATTTGACGGTCTATTCGATATTGGCAATGAGAAGCTGTTGATGTGTTCGCGATTCTGGTTCAAGGGGATTCATTTTTATTCCTCTTGAATTTGTAGATTTTGAGGGATTAGGGAAGAGATTCATTGGCGTCGTGAAGAGATACAGGATTGTTCGCGTGAACAGAGTTGTGTTTTACATAGTTGAATGTAGACGGAGTATTACGGGTTTTGTGTAAGGGGAAAACAATATGTTTTTTTGGTGAATGGTACTATCTATCAACTGAATCAGGCTTGTCTTATGATCTCTAGTGTCCAAATGATCCGAGCTACTGTAAGGAGGCTGTGGAAATAGCGGCGATAGTTGGAGCCTTTGTAATTAAGAAAGGACTTGCTTCTACACTAGCGAAATATATCAACATAAGTTAAGCTGATTGCGTGTACAGCAACCACAATACCCGCAAATGTATTTATCTGGATTTCTAAACTTATGCTATCACGAAGAAATGTCTAGACTTCAGTAGTGGATCCATTTCTGACCGAAAGTCATCAAAGCTTTACTAAGATAAGTCTAGCTAGTAAAATGGGTGCTATAACTTATAACTATCAAAAGAGGCTAGTTTAGATGTTCTCTCTATACCTTTGTAATTAATCCACAGTTCATCTTGTATGCCATAATTAGCCTTCTGAGTTCGTAGTTATAAAATTCCCAAACTCTTTGGCATGCTTTAAGCACCTGTAGAGGCAACGTGGTACTAGTCGTAGTGTTACTACATGCTAAAATATAATTTGCTTGGATTAAGAAAGAGTTAGCATCCCAAGTTTTCACTAAGCCTTTTGAATGTTTACATTTACATTTAATCTTCCATAGGATAGTATTATACTTCGATCTACATAGTAAATGTATAATAATTTATTATCTGTTAACAAATTTGTATAATGTTATTCCCCGACATATCTTCAAGCAATGTTCATTTTTGAGTTTCTATTAGTAACTTTTTTGTTTCCCAAGTGCTTAGCCTTCTGAGCGGAGTTCTACGAAGTAATAGGATGGTAGAGATATCTTGTGATCAACCCCTTTCGCAAGCATTCTTACTCGCGTGTTCATAGCCCCTTGGTGTATTAGCTTTCTGGATGCCACGTCTTGTCTCTTCAAGGCCAATGTATCTTGGTTACTGCACTAGTTCAACTCTAGGAAGAACAGTAAATCTTCCTTGAATCTATGCAGAGCCACGTTGCCATGCAAATGCAATTACATTTCATTTTCATTACTCTACATTAACATCTACAAGAAGTAACATCTACAAGAAGTAACATCTACAAGAAATACTAATATTGAGGGATTTACAGATATATACACATGGAAAATTTCCAGAACTAGCATCAAGCTATCATAAGTTATCATTCCCAAGAACTCGAAGCTTCTCCCAAACCCGTCAGGCCATGAGGTAGAAACTGGCCAGGATCTTTCGTAGCCATCGCGAGGCACAAGTAATTCCAATTCAATTGAGTAATCCTATGCGCTGGCACTCAATCGAAGTACTCCAATGTTTCACAGAAGTACGTTCCTGATGTGTCCCTTCCCGGAAGTGATCCATGACCCACCCGAAAGCTTGAAAGCTGGGGTAGACACCTGAGAGTCTAGACGTGGCTGACAAGTGGGGATGAGGGGAGTGGATGTCTGCAGGGACGGGAAAATTATGGGGATGTGGAGATTTTGTACTTCCGTACTGTACTTCGGATACCTTCGTCCCAGGCGTTATAAAAGGTGAGTTTACGGGGAGGGGGGTGTTTAGCTATATTAGGTGAGATAATTGTAAGCGAGTTGGAGCTGTGTACTCGTTGGAGTGTGTTTTTGCTGCATCGCCATTTTGTATGTGGATAGTGCCTGCTAAATAAAGGCAAGTTACTGTATTCGGAGTAGTAGTTATTTTACATTCAATATACGAGCCAAATATCTCTTAAACTTGTCACAAGTTAGCGGTCGTAAAGACAGAGAGTATAGAGCCCAATTAGTATCATAGACCCCAGTTATACACCCGTAGCCAAACAAGCCGTAAAAACCCCCATTTTTTTACATTCCGGGCAACGCTACCGAACGGTGCACACGTTACAAGGTAATCCGCGCTGAGCCAAATGGACCTTAAAACACTCGAGTTTTGTAAAACTAGGAGTACCCTTCCGAGAATCCGGTTGCACTCTCATCCTGGCCAAACGCGACCGTCGGACAACTTAAGGTTATTTGGTTGAGACACAACTATTAATTCGGCAGATATATGTGGCTCTAGAAAGAAGGTGTATTAGGTGAAATAATTGTAACTTTACTAGGATGGCGAAGGTTGGCAAGGGGGTATAAATCCCCGAAAGGCTTCAATTATTTCGCTTGGGATGAGGTACGCGTGGGGGGACAGAGGTGGTTGCTGTGTACTTTGAAGTACAGTATCTCCCAGAAGGGTTGGTGACCTTTTAGACCATTGTAGAAATCAGCATCCCGATATTTTTTACACCAGAATTTAAACTATAGATAGTACTGCAAAAGCCGTGCACGTCCTTGACGCATCCGAAAATACACTTGTACTTCGTACGAAGTAAAGGGTCTGGACAGCTCGGCCCCCCCCTTGTTACTTTCTGATATACCTCCACATGAATCGGACAATTCAATTGGATTGGAGGGCTATATTGTGGAGTTATACCCTGCCTATAACAAGTCGTATACAGGGGGGGGGCGGCGCGAGCTGTCTAGACCCTTTACGTCCATGGGCCCATTGAATAAGAAAAGGGGGGGTAATAGTACGATCAGCCCTACACCGCATTAAGCTACACTTGGCATGGCAGTTAGTTAGGAAGTGCCGTAATACGGTGTAGGGTTTAGTAAGGAACAAGAGTTTTGGGTCCTAAGCTTAACCTTAAGTTTCACGTTCCGAGTTCGTCTTCGTACTTAGTATTTCGTCCCAGGCAAAATACCTCGTAATTACAACGTGTTCGGAGGTTTTTACCCTGTTGCCAGCCTTAGAAACCTTGGAAAGTTACTATTATGTCGTCTGGGATGGGTAATTGGGACTTAAGTGCTTGGAAGGTGGGTGTTTGCCGGTGGATATTTATGGGTACAGTATGTGGGACCCGAAGAGTCGCAAAAGCAGTGACTCTGGGGTTGAAGGGGAAAGATATATATATGCTCATGTTCCTCTTCAAAATGTTTTCTATCATCAGCTTCAACTCACAGCTTCAATCACCACACTCATCAAAAAACAAATCTTCTCAGATTAATATCTAATCTCGCCAACATGCAATTCAACGCTATCCTCCTCCTCGTTGCTTCAGCATCTGTCGCTACTGCTATCAAGAGCGCAACCTGCCTCGATGGTGCTGTAAGTCCCCAAGTCCACCTGCTTGAATTCATGTTCATTGGATCTAACAACCTCATAGGGAAAAGCCCAAGTCTCCACCACCATGACCGCTTGTGACAACTTGAAATTCTTCCCACCCGTCAACAAGTGCTCCGACTGCAAGATGAGCGGCAACAACTGTGTCAGTGACAAGGATCTTATCACTGCTGCCGACGTAAGTGTTTTCATTTCTCCCAACACAAATATCAAGATGGGAGAGAAGTTAATTGTGATGTATAATAGTTGGCCAAGCAATGCAAGGATGCTGGTGCTTCAGGAAGCAAGGCGAATTAGATTCGCTCCTGAGGTTTGGAATCGTTCGCTCGATCTCGAAATGAGGATATGAGAAGCAGAAGAGGGAAAATGGACAGATAGGGGTTCAGTAGGGTAAATGCGAGAGCAAATACAACAACTTGACCATCAAGCCGTTCCTCGCGCTTTGTAACAGACGTCCCTTTTTAAGTGATATTCATTGTATTGCCAAAGTGACACCCATTCTCCCAGAGCCGGAGTTCCCACTTCCAAAGATGCAAATAGTCCATATCACCTTTCTTGGGTTAGTTCTAAATCTGCATCTGCTTTTGCTATCACCCATTCTCAATAGTCTCCTAGTAGGATGACTCTCCACCCTGCCTGACCGGTTCTTCAAAAGTCCCAAAATAACCTCCTTGAAACTGTCCGCCAAATCCTCCCATACAAAATCGGGGTTGAGAGGCTTGACAAAAACACGCATTGCAGAGACTGGGACCTTGATCATATCACAAACGGCCTTGCTCGATAGTTCTTTTTTCTGCATCTTATTGACGAATGCTGAAGTCAAAGACGAACTATAGTCATCGAATTCATCTTCTATCGCCCTCTTTCCCGATGTCGTAATTTCCATGGTCTCTAGTTCATCAACTAATCCACGAGATCCTAGTTTCTTCCCTGCCGAGTCATTTTTCTTCCCTGTCAAGATTTCGTAAACGAAGTCTTCATCCAGAGGCTCGATAGGATCACTAAATTGGCCTCGCTTTCCAACTTGCCAAGCAACGCGACGCCTCTCTGCATCGCCCGAGACCATGTGAATCAACTCGAGGTTCTTATTCTCGGCCCCAAAGTCTGCCCTCAAGAGATCTTTATAGGCCTGAAAGTTTTGAATCTTAAGATCTTCCGGCTTGACTTTCCAGAGGGCAGCGATTTTACATTGCTCATCCAATAATTCTTGACAATGCTCCTTCATTTTAACCCAGTCTTCGCCTATGCAAGCTTTATAGACTTTGTCCTTGAGCTTGCTGAAGGCTGCTGAGCGATTTGCGTAGACCATTGCAGCAACAATATCGTCGTGAGGCCGTCTTTGACCTCCTTTGGAGACACGCTTAAGATAGTCAATCATTTTGGGATAGCTTGGTGACTGTCCTGCCAGCTTTCTGGGGAGGGTTTTCAACAGACGTGTTGCGACGGCCGCGGTGTCTATACCCTCCTCTGTAAGCATTCTCATGAGAATGGTGATGATGGTACGAGAATGGTCCAGTTGAATGTTTCGGAGTTTGCAATAATAATATATCATGTCATCTGAAGCACTTGATTTGGCCTTCGCGGCAACTTCGCTTTTGGTGACCACGCGGACGATGATTTTGTCGAGGAGCTTGACTAAATTGTCATGGAATTGCTCTACAGGCCAACCTGTATATGGATAGAAATCAACGACGGTCTGATACCACATCCAGTCAACATCGGTCGTTGGAATATCAAATATTAGATCCATGCCAAATAACTGCCAGACCATGCTTTGTGGACGAGTTCCAGAACCGGCCATTGTCAGAACATTACCGAAAAGCCCACGCATTAATTTGGTAGTGGTATCTTCCGCTTTGTCTGCAACGACAGGTGCACTTGTTCTCATCGCAGCAAGCTTTGACATTGCTGCCATCAACAGTGAGCTCATAAGATGGCCCGTTTCTTGACTCTGAGGTTGGAGATTGAACTCTCGAGAGGCAACTGCTTGGCTGAGTGTGGCTCTCATGATGATTCGCAGAGCGGAAATGTGTCGTTCATTACATTTATCCAACCATCTTACCATAAACGGGCTTCTGAGATTCACAAATTCATCCCAGCACACCCATGCTAACATTGATCCGCGGTCATCCGTATGAGCCAGATTTGGCAATGCCAGAGTTAGGCTGGAAGGTCCACCTCGACTTCGAAGTGGACCTTCATGGTGGTTTTGCGACTGTTCCATTATGATTCCAGCATCAAGTCCTCCGAGATGGAGAATTCTGGATTCGAGGGCGCAGCAGGGACTGAATTTCAACCGTTAGCATTTTTGTCATACAAGGCCAATTTAAAAAAGCCATAGCCATCTCCCTAGATAGATTTGAGCAAAACAACGCAACTCCAAAAATCTCGAACGATCCAATCAGTTATGCGAACGGGTGGGACAACAAACTTGATTGTGTCAACGTGATTGAGACAACCGTAATTTTCAATAGTCAATTGTCTCAAGCCATTAGAATAACACGTCGAAGAATTCGTGCTGCACCCAGAATGATATCTAAGAGTTTGAAAAACAAAAAGAAATAGAAAAGATTCGGTTTTTCCACATACCTGGCATCAAGGGCGGCGTTTCTCAAGCCCCCTAAGAGCTGGCGATATGGTGTGGTTTTGATATTCAATAGCATGACACCCATTTCTTCTGCATATTGCTCCAAATAACCAGCCAATTTATCAAAGGTCATAGTGGTAGCGGCCTCGACATTGCCCTTGATCTGAGCTTGACGGGCGAGCTTTTTCAAATCGTGTGTTCGCTTCGAAGTCATTTGAGAGGACATCATATTAGCCAGATTTGAAATTGCTGACTTGATAGCTTTCTGTACCAGCTCTGTGTTCTTTCTGAAATCTCCGAGCATCCTATTCTTCTTCTTTACCATCTCTGGATCCGGTCGTTGAAGGGATGAAATTCCTCTGTGACAAAGTTGATGTAAGCATCCCTGTATGGAGCCACCGCAGTGCCTACTTTCTGCTGAAGAATAGATATCAGCTTTTCGGACAGCTCTTGAATTTCTCGTTGGTCCAAAAGCATTTGGAGCTGTGGGACCGCTGCTGAGATGTCCTCTTCCAGATCTTGAATCTTGTCGACAGGAAGTTTTGTGTTGAAATCCGGAAGTTCCTTGGGCTGGATAAATTGCCCTGAAGTTGGGAGAAGGATGGAGCTTGAGGAGTTAAGGTTGACGATCCGCTTTACTCTTGGGTCTATAATAGGCTCTTTCCTTAGTGAAAAGACAAAGGACGTCACATCGGAACCAAACGCAAGTTTCGATGTGTCGAGGTGTGTTCGGTTAGCTATACCCCTATAAAAATAGTACTTCTCCCCGATTTGGACAAGAATCAAGGATTGTGGTCCAGCGAGTGCGGTCACAGCATTGATGTTTGCTGAATTCAGTATTGTCAAGACTCTATCAGTACTACTTGGCTCTTCTGACAGTTTGAGTTGGACGATGAAAAGTGCATTAAGTCTGTATGAGCTTGCGAGATTTCGGGCGTTATCTGTCATTTTGTCGTCGACAATGACCACGAAGTTTTTGAGTTTATCATAATAACCTCGAAGATCATTTCCGTTGTCAAATGGAACATTTGAGGGAATTGTTCCTGTAGCAAGTATCGACGGTCCTTGAAGCTGAGAACCACTACAGCAAGTCAGCATGGAGTATGGAGTATGCTCAAAACGACCCCTCTACCATTATTGATAGAGATTTAAGGATGGAAGTGAAAAGAAATTATTGCTTACAAAATGCAAGGCAAAATAACGGCAGATGACTTCGTCTCTGAGGAAAGCTCCTCGCCTGGCATCTTGAAACTGATGCCTGTACCAAAATGTATGAGTTGCGTTTGTTGTAAATCAATAAACGATGGTACAGTGGTTGAGTTCGTGGATATCAAGGCGTTATCTTTGGTGGCAGATTTTGTAGTGGGATTGCTCATGACTTCTATTTCAGAATCTTCACCTAAATGATGTTAGTCCTTATACTGAAAATTCATTGGACTGAAGACATCAGTACAAACCTTGTTTCACGGCTGCATGGGAAGATACTTTGAAGTCTGCTCGTCTAATCGCTTCCTTGAAGCAAGGACTGACCAATCTAGCCGTGTCGCACTCCTTGTTACGATCAGTGGTTGCTGTTGGTAATATCGAACACATTAAGATCTCCCCATCCCGCTTAACAACCATTGGGCAGCAAATAGTCGAGTCATTGATTGTCGCTGCGTCCAAAGGCACGGGGATTATGTAAAGAACCTGCGAATCTATTAACTCCCGCCAATAAGAAAGGTGAGCACTCTCCAGCTACCTTATCCTCATGATTTGCAACGAGCAACGCCGGATTGGTTCCTAGAAACTTCGTGATGGGGATTTTGCGGAACCCAGATATCAACACGCAGATTTCCTTTTCCGTGAGAGAGGCCGGGTCGAAGCATGACGTATTGCCATCTGAATCCGCAAGGCACAAATCCCAGTATTTAGGATTTCTGATGGATACTGCGAAGATTGTAATTTGCTTTGACAAAATTGGAATCTTGAATGTGGATGTTGGTGCTTGTTGGATTTGGAAGTCCTCGAATACCTCTGTGATCAGTTGATGTTTAGTCCTCAAATGGCCCTTGTTAAAGTTACTGGGAAAAGACTAACGCAACTGATTTGGGTAACAAGCAATTCTTTCCAAAAGAATCTCACCCATATCCCCCAGATCAACGGCGTTGAAAAAATAGTCATCGGGGTAGGACGAAATATCGATTTCCACAATACCAGAGCCTACTCTACATAGAAGGATGCGCTCAGGACTGAAAGGGTGTGCAGAGCCGATCGAGAGTCCATTCAAAATCTCTCGAATTTGAATCTTCGATGTTGCGAGGGGGTCAAAGAAAACCTTGCTAACTCTCTCCATGGTTGAGAGAATACCTGCTGGTCAGGAGTTGTGGAAAGATAATTATTGGAAGAAGTCACCAAGGTTAGGTAAATTTGGTTCAAAGATGCTGCGGAAGTGATGGTCCTTTTGAGTCAAAAGCACCTTCCAGCTAATACCATCCGATTCATTGCACTCAAGGGTAAGCACGTGAGTCTACGGAACGGACTTGATCGGATAGGGCTACTAATCTATAACTAACAACCAACAAGTAATAAACTATAACTAATAATCAATATATTAATTTTCACGTATTTTATAAGGTAGTTTTAATAAATCTAGATTTCGCTTAGAGGATAAGACTTTAAAAATTTAAGGCTATTTATATTTTACCTAAGATATTATTTCTACTATTATTACTACTACTTTAAGCTATATCCTTTTTAACTTTACTTATAAAGTCCTTGTTGTTTATTTCTTGTCTACTCTTGTTTTCCTACGCTTTCTAAAACTCTTTATAGGCTACTTATAATATAGCTATAGCTTTAATCTAGGCTACTCTATCTTATAGTAGCTCTAATATAAGAATCTTTTTACAAGTAATTATTTTATATTTTAGAAGTACTTTATAAAGATAATTATATACTTAAACATATAGATTCTAAAGAGATTTAGTAACAGTATTAAGGTTATATTCCTAGTTTCTAATACTAAGGAGCTTATAGTAGAGATCGTAGATAAAATCTAGTAGGTAAGTATCGAGATTAAAGTCCTAGACGTCTTTAGATACCCTATTAAATATAGGCTAAGTAGTCTTAGATATAAACTCTTAATAATTATCTATACTATTAGGAGAGTATGAAAAGTTATATTCGGGTATACTAAATACTAGATATTTAGTATAGGATTATTAGTATCGAATATTAGTAATATTATAGATATCTATAAACTCTATAAGTTCCTCTCGAAGTTTTAGTATATAAATAAATTATAAAGTAATAACATTATAGATTAATTCAAGATTAAATAGGCTCGTATATAAAAGAGACTTAAATAATAGTTTCTATCCTTTAGTTTATCTATCTACTATTTAATTCTACTATACCTTAATCTTTTAATTCTTTATAGATAGTCTATAAATATATACTTTTATAAATAGTAGTTCTTTATTCTACTTACTTATAATTTAAAGAGCGTACTAATTAATTAATTAGTATATATATTATTAGTTAAACTAAATAGTAAATACCTAGAGTACTAATAGTAATATTACCTCTTTACTATTATTAGATTAAATAATCTATAGAAAGCTATAGATAGAGATATAAAATAAGAAGAATTTAAGAACTATAATCTAGGTATAATTAGAGATCTCTATATAAATTCCTACTATATATTTAAAAGCTATATTATAATAGCTTATTATAGCTATTAACAGACTATACTTAATTAGAACCCCTTATATAGTATTTCTTACGCTTCTAACGATTATCTGAGTTCTCTAGATCTCTATTTACTATACTAATAGAATTAAGAATTTATAATATATAATAAACGTCTTTAGAGGTAATAAATTTCGAGTAATACTTACGTAGATATTTATAAGTATATCTAGAAACTATTAAATCTTATATACTAAAATTGTATAGGGAGAGTTTACTATATACTTCTTACTCTAGCGCGTAGATTATTTATTTTTTAGAGCCTTTAAAATAACTTACTTCCTACTTAATTTCGTTTATTTTATTACCTTTTTACTTAATATATTAAAAGTATAGGTTCTACTTATTATAAATCTTTTATAAAGTACATTATATAAGATTGTAACGTCTATAGAATTATTATTCTACTCTTTTAAATATTATTTAAAGGTTTACTAAGTTTTTCTAAACTTATATTCCTACTCTAGATATTAGATAATCTAGACGTTTAAATAGTATTCTTTATAGTATAGTCGCTCTATTATTTCCTAGTATAATTCCTAGTTAATAGGGGTAGAAGTATCGGCGGATATATTAATAAGCTAAAAAGATAAGTAAAAGTAGTCTTAAATAGTTAAATTAAATGTAGGAATATACTCTTTATTAAATAGACTTTAGTTAAGTAATTATTGATTTTTTTCCTACTCTAAGAAGTTCTTATAGTAGCTATATTTATTTATTTATTGCTATTTAACGTCAAGCGGAGTCTAGCTCGCGTGGGCTAGGTCCTAGAAGAGTCCCAAAATAGGGCAAATGACGCTAGGGGGGTGCCCTAGGCTACAGGGGGGTGTAAACGAAAGAGCTAATTTACATGAGGCAGTTTAAAGAGAAGCTCCACTTTCGGAACAGCTCTTATCCTTAATTAGTTTAAGAACCAGGGTAAAACAAAGGAGATATATAAAGAAAAGGAAATAAAAGAAGGCCTGTCTATCTAGAGAGGCATAGTGAAAGAAACGAAGGTGGTAGGCGGTGAAGTCTCCATGGCCAGAACGAGCAGCTATTAAGCGGGCTAGGACCTCTCTATGTACAGAGTAGAGAGGGGGGACCAGGAAGAAGTATCCGCGCTGCTTTTCCTGCAGCTTTATCCGCAATCTCATTGCCAAGGATGCCTATGTGGCTAGGACACCACCTTGTCTGTATTTTCCCAGGGTACGATTGAGCTAATTCGTAGACCCTGTTAAATGTCTCTTGTGAGGTGCCACAGGACCGGTAGGTCAGCTGTAGTGTGGCTTCAAGGTTGTCAAGGCAGATCCAGCACTTCCTTGCCGAAGGCCAGAAAGAGGATTCTAGGGCAAGCTCTAGGCCATGGAGAGCAGCTCTGGCTTCTGCATCATATATTTCTAACACTTTGCCGAAAGAGAAGCTCTTTGTATTAAGAACAACCCCCCCTCTTGTGAGGCACACGCCCCCACCAGTGCTTTTATCGTCCAAGCGAGAGCCGTCGGTAAATACTACTAAGTCGGTAGGTGGGAGTGTAGCTAAAAACTCAAGGAATTTGGCCTTAAAGGAGCTCTTGTCTCCACTGGGCTCAGGTCCTGCTACCTCTAGAAGCCGGGATTGTCGNGTAGCTAAAAACTCAAGGAATTTGGCCTTAAAGGAGCTCTTGTCTCCACTGGGCTCAGGTCCTGCTACCTCTAGAAGCCGGGATTGTCGGTTGAAACCTCTGTCTCACGGCGGGTCTTGTACAGGGTCGATCTCTTCAGAGGGGGGCAGGGCTCTATAAGAGCGGTAGATAAGCCTAGCTTTAGAGCTAGGGTTATTTACACATCGTTTAA